TGTCGCTCCAAATTCTTATAAAAAATTATTTAACCTTTGATTTTACCACCACTAAAGTCTCATAAAAGTTTCCAATTTACAACTCTTCAACTTTCCCCATTAGGGCTATAAAGCTCATCCTCCTCCTTAGAGAATGAGTTGTGAGCACAAACCCTTGCCCCCAATTTAGCTTAACACACTATCTAACTCTCTATCTATCTATCTAAGATGGCACCTCCTCTTCAACCAAATATGAAGGAAAGGAAGAAGGTGGATTGAGAAGAAGAAAGATTATTTAGAGTCTCATAATTTAAAGTACATGCATCTCCAATGCAAAACTTCGATCACTCCCAAAACAAGCAATTCGACATCAAAAAGACTCAAATTTCCAATTTAACTACAAAGAAATTTCAGTCTTTTTCTCCTCAAAAAGTTTTAATTTCTGATTGTTTTTTCCATTTTATTCTCTTTTGTTAGTCCTTATAGATGACCAATGGTTTGGACCTTTAGAACCATAATAGGAAAGATAGACCAATTAGTTTTTTGGTTCTGACCAGCGCAAAGGAGTTAACATGTAACCTTTTAAAACGATGAAAATGGCAACCAATAGTTTCCTCGTGTGTGGAAAGCGAAGAGTGCAAGTTTAATGTGTAAGTGATGTTGGTGAGTAAGTGAAAATGTAGTGTATGAGGGATGTTGGTGACTGTTATTACAGATTTGTAGTCTTTCAATTTTTTTATTAGAAAATTATTGAAAAAATTCTCAACAACACAATTACTTGTCTACTCTATCAAAGTTTGTAGATTTATTTTGGTCAAGCTATTCAAGAGGTATCGGTTGGTATTTTAATCAAGGATAACGTTGTATGATTGACATTTTATTTTTTGGCCCTACTAAATATCTAAATGACATTAACATCCTTTTAACCCATCAAATTTGAGACTCACTTGACCCTCATTTTTACTATAAAATTAAATGTCATTAAACTGCTTGTGTATTAATATAGAGCAATGCTACAAAATTCAAATAAAACTCAAAAAATTACAACTCAAATGCATATCATTCATTGGATAAGTGGATCTCATCAATTTTTTCAGTGGGGCACACTCATCTAAAGGATAATATGCATTTGAATTTTAACTTTTGGGTTTCATTTGAGTTATGTAACATTTTTTATTAATATATATAGTCAAGTATCTTCATCTTACTTGAATGTAACCATCCCCTATATCTAAACCTTTCCTTCTTCTGGCCATCAAAACCAAATTTTTGGTCTCATATGTCTCTTCATGTAGCCCGCAATTGATTGCTTCATTTAGCAATTGCAAGATGCAAAGACTTCTAGGAATTGAATTTGCATTGAATGTACCGATTAATTATCTAATAAAATCGTTTTTACTTTTTGGGTAGTCTCAAGTTCAAATAATTAAATGTTTCCTATGACCTTTTTGTCTGAATCAGATAAATCTGAATGACAATGCTTTCACGTTGGCTTGAGCAAATTTTCTACTCAGGATCTTTCGGGTTTAAGAGTTTTGAATACAAAATTGACTATACTTTTCATGTAATACACACTCATAATTCATAACTATGCCTTCTTGGATTTTTTTTAATAATTTTGTTTCTTATGGATGCATTCTCATGATTTTTAAGACCCAAAATATTATTTTCCATTTTGATTGTGGATTCAACCTATACTACTTATATTCGAAGGTAAGAAGTTCAATTATCCATAAATTTAGTGTGCCAATCAAAACCACGGTGTCAATCAAACCAACTATCTTAGAGGAGACATTGAATTACATGATATCCATTCGCCCACTTCTTTTAGTAAGTTAAATCCTTATTCTCAAAATTCTATTTTTTTTCCCTTGTTCTAATGTCAAATAAAAATTCATAGTTCTATAGAAGAAGCAACAAAAGCCTCAACAAAAAAAATAAAAAAAGTAAGAGTTTTAACCTATAATGGGTTTTTCATTTTGGTTAGTATTGTTTGAGTTTAAATAGAACATAAAGCGATAGATTGATAAAAAATTACAACCACCCAAATATACTTATAATTCAATTCTCATTGAATGCCATCCAAGATTTACTAACAAACAAGGGTGATGGGCCTACCACTGTGTAGAAAGCCATTCAAGGGTAGCCAAGCAAGGAAAAGAGTAATTCAAAGAAAATGTTTAAGTACCTTGGTACTGATGCTAGGTTATTTCATATTACATTATTTTGTTAATATACAATTTCTATATTATGCTCCTCGATCCTTTGAATTTTCTCAGTATGTGTTTTTCTTTTTTTTGGGGTCTGATTGTATGATTATTATCCGCCAATCATGTTGCATATCTGTCTATGGGTACTTTATAACTTTTGAAATCGGTGATTTGTTGAAGTCATTATGGGTAAATTAAGTAATTGGATTATCATAAAATTCTAAAAAAGAAAAGAAAAGAATATGAACACTAGATTGCTCCAATCAGTCTTTGGTTTGACCTTAGTGTACTAGATTTTTCTTATAAATAGCTGGGCATAACGTATTTAATGAGTTAATTTATCAAATACACGTAGTCCTATTTAATTGATATTTGCACTTGCATGATTTGGTCAAGGAATAGCTATTTGATGAAAGAAATAAAAATTGAATCTGTTTAATTCATCTAAACTTTAACCTCGAAAATAAATTAATTACCTTAGTGTTGCAAATTCTACAATTATAAAATTTTGCAATTCGTGTGGTGTTGTTGGAAATTCTTAGATTGAACAACATGAATATGTATTACATTAGAGATAACTCTCTTTCTTAGACTATACATGCATGGGTTCATAATGTCTCCCTTGAGCATGTTGCTAACTTTTTGTATAGTCCATATATAGAGCTTTTGTCTTAATTATCTTTTATCATGAGGATAAAATACGTCATGGGTTCATAACGTCTCTCCCTTGAGCATGTTTCAAACTTCATGTATATAGCTAGCTATACACGAGGACAAAACAACTTATTTTAGCCTATATTTTTGTGATTTTCTTTTAAAAATTGATTATTAATTGATTAATTCTCAATTTTTATTATTTGGTATATAAAATAGTTCACGTGCAACGCATATGTGCATCAACAAATAACTTTTAATTTCTATGTCAAAAAATTATAATTTATTTTTATACTACTTCTAAATATCAAGAAAAGTGAAAAATATTTGTTAGACCAAAATAACCTTAACAAACTAACTAATGTCTAATGGTCTATCCTATTTTTCTGTAATTAATAACATTATTACATCATAATAATTGTCACAATTATTTTGTTGTTGACTACTATTTAAGTTTTAGAAAAACAATCTTGTCTGTTGGGTTATTAGCATTTTAATATCAGTAGTTATGCATGACGTGTGTTGCACTTGTCATATTTAAATTATTTGTATTCTCTTCTTCATAACTATAAACATCCAATGAATTCATTTTCCATTATTATTTCGTTCGAGCTACCAAATAATAAGGTTTATATATTTTTCTTTTTTCGATTTTTTTTCTTTTTGTCTTTCTTATTTTTACTTTGTGCATCAATTATTTTTTATTAAATTATTTTAATTGTGAATAAAGAGATAAGAAAAATATAGCCATTTTTAGGCATTAGAGATGATATTGTATCAATAGAGTTGTCAACGTGTATTAATACTGGGGTTTCGAACAAAATAAAATTTAGGCAATTTTTTTAAACAAAATAAATTAGGCCATTAAATATATAGAAAAATATATCTAGGTAAGAGAAACCTATCTTTATTGTCTATATTTTGATTCTTTTTATTTTTTTTTGTTATAATATGACAATATATTACATAACTTCCGTAAACAACATTATATAGAGATAATTCTAGAATAGTATACTCCCAACATATTAGTTAGAAGCTTCATTTTATTACATTCCGAAGGTTATGTTTGATACATTTGAAAACATCATTTAGAATTTGGACCGTAATTCTATACTTTGATTCATAATTATATATTGAATAACATAATTGATATATAATTTTAACAAAGTTAAAAATATAAAAATAAAATTATAATTCAAAATGTCACATGTGCAACAACTAGTAAGAAAACAAAGATCGACAATGATGTTCTTATAGAATTAAAGTGTATTTTGTTTAGTGACATGCTTCTAGCACAATAGTTGAGACCACTAGATCAGTTTTATTTGTGAGCATGAATCTTTGTGTAACTAGAAAATAGCATTCTTATTAAAAAAATAAATCAAATAAAAATATTAAGATGGACATAATGCAAAATAAGGAATGGTAAAAATAAAAATCAACACATTTGTAGAACAACAGAAATAGCACCAGTAGAAAATAAAGGAGGAGTCGCCTTGAGTTGTGTAGTGAAGTCTAATATCTGCAATGCTAAGAAATATTAAGTAACCTATATCAACAAATAAAATAGCAATAACGATATTTTTTGTGCTTTTTTGATAAATAATAATTAAGATAACCCAGATAAGGATAAATTCTAAGTTTCTAAGAGAATTTGTTAGTATACCAGAAACTTCAACAAACTCTTTTCGGGAGTTGCAAAAGCAAACGCCGAGGTTATGGCAATCCACTATGAGTACAACTAGGGAAAAATTCAGTAATATTTACAGGGAGTAACATTGTCATCAGCGATTTTTTGAGAACCATGACATCCAAAAAAAAAGGGAAAAAAAGCACTGTCAAGAACAAGCTCTAAATCAAGAATGCAGCACAACCTCGAATTGGCACATTTCAAATGTCAATTAAGTATCCATCATTTGGAGGGTCAAAGCACCCTCAACAGTTAAGCCAAGTTCCTTTGAAACTAGTCTGCCGACATGAAGTTTGTGTCCTAGATTAAAACAACAATCTACATCAAGAAATATACAAGAATAATGCAAACAAATCAATTTGTATCACTATGTCTAGGAAATGAGTAAATAGCACAAAGTTAATTACCAATGACTCAGCCGAAAAGGTTGTATATATATAATATCATGATTAAATATTTCATAAGGATTATTGAGGAGAACATGCCTGGTCAAAAGTGAAACAACGAAAACCATTCATGTAGTCAATATCCATCCATAAGACATCACAAGGTATACCCTTCTCCCGAAATGTCCTGGCAATCTGCACATGTGAATGGGCAAACCCACAGAAAAACAAGAAGCATGATGTTCAAAACGTAGAAGTGACTACAAAGGAAAGCAATAGTCTTATTTAGCTATTCAGCTTAAACAAGAAAGAAACCCCAAAAAATCTTTTAATCAATAAAGAGTGAGGGACGAAGTTCACAAAGGACCAACCTCACGAACTCGGGCATCAGAGTCATAGCTCCAACGACATTGATGATAACCCAGGGACCACTTTGGGGGCATATAAACAGTTCCTAGTCCAAATATGACAGTCATCCCATCAAACTACCAGCAGAGATATATACACATACACGCGCGCGCATCACACATAAAGAGAGAAAGCTCTATGGCAACAGAAAAATATACTAGAAGACTAGCATTAAAATTAGATCAAGTGTGCATCTATCATGAATGAATATCTGCCCCGCTATCTACAAAGTTTCTAAATAATCGAATTCTCATACCGTCAAACACAACTTACACAATATCAAACATAAAATGAGGTAGCACTTAATTAATCGGAAAATTTTTCACAAAAAGATTTTTATAGAAATCTATTGCTTTATATGTTTGATCACTAATGTGTGCATATGTGCCTTTATGAGTGTGCTTCTACGCAAAGTTGACATGGAAAAATATTCTTTTTTTGTTCAGCTCAACAAATTTTTTGGGTTCACCTATATCTATAAATTGCCTTTCCATGGATCAAATAGCGTTGAAGATAATGAATCTTGAACCTATCTCTCCTGCTAAGACTCTGTATAAGTAAGCTAGGTAACCTAAAAAGGAGGAACAAAAAAGAAAGAAAGATTATGAACAAATAACTCGCTTTTTTTATTTTGTATCATATCAAAGGTTAAACAACATTGTTTAGTGTCAAAGTACAAATACTTAAGTTACCCCATCTCCAATTACTTAAATTTTTGAAGTAGATGGTTGTTTAACATAGTATCAAAGCAGAAGGTTCGGTGTTCAATTATCACCGCTATCTTAATTATTAAAAAAAAATTCACGTGTTATGCCCAAAATCTAACATGCACGCGCGAGGGCGTATTAAAGTATAAATACTTAGTTACACTCTCCCAACAACTTAAACTTTTGGAGGAGATGGTTGTTTAACATTTAGTAACAAACATCTTCAACCAAAAGAAAAAAGAAATCCAATAAACTACTAAAGGACGCACCAAAATATTCAATGTTTCTTTGGTGGCTTGAGTTTTGTTCAGAGACATTTTTTTCCTGAGCGAGCTTGGGGGACAATTATGAATGGCCATGTGGGTGCTCATAGCTCCCTTTGTTTATACCATAACTTATATTTTGTTTTGTTATGTTTTAGAAGTTTCCTTTTGCTGTGTGTACACTTTCTATGCACATCAAGTAATCCCCTTGGCACTTGTGCTGACTTTTCACCAACCAAAAAGAATCATTTTTTTCTTTTGGAAAGGTACAGTAAGATTCCCGGTAAAGTTTGGGCTTGATGCAAGCTTATGCTAATTTGGCAACTGCGAGGAAGGAAGGGAGAGAGAGACAGAGACAGATTGAAACATCTGATATTTAGGAAATATTTGAGCAACATAATCAAATGCCAAACACGAGCTTAATACACAAATGGGATAAGAGTTGTAGATTATGAGCTGACAGCTCTAAATCAAAGCCCTGAAATTTTAACACAGAAGCACTTTTTGCAAGTTGTCCCTAGAGATAAAAGATCAGAGGCCCCTAACTCTCAACTCTAGTCGGACTGTGTTGCCCACCCCTGGCGTTTATATACCAAAGGAATAAAACTAATGATTTTATTTTTAATTAGGTTTTCATTTCCAGTAAAAAGACATAATCAAGAAACCTATGAACCCAAACATACATGCTTCAACTTCCACATCACTCCATAATGGTTAGTTACTTTTTTGCATTTGATTCGATTATTCATGAAGAAAAATTCTCCATTAAGGTTTCACATTTCTGACAGGTAACGTAATTCTTTTCTATTTCCTCTGCAATGCTCTAAGCCACAGTTTTTAGTTAAGTTCCTATGCGAATAACTTCCTATCCTCCTTGTATGCTCATTTTTTGGTTCTTTTTAGGGGGAGGAGTATAGAGGTACAAAGAATTCATTTAAGGATATTCAAACTTGTGAAGTGCTTCCACCAGACCAAGTTGACTTTGTACTACAATTAGTACTAGATTATTTTCTGTGACAAAGGTTAATAAATTGTCATGTTGCCACTTACCACAACGATATTATCAGAGTCCAATGTTCCAATATAAAAGAGCATTTCTAATCACTAAAGAACTATAGCTGAGGTCCTGAGGGCATCCCCTTCATAATAGGAACTGTGAGTCTTCAACATAAAACCAATGTAAATATCTCATGCTTCTTAATCAATAACAGCTGGAATACGGTCTAAAAAGTTGGTATCAGTTTTGAGGTACAACAACGTGAAATGTTCTTTTTCTCATTCTCCTATTGCAAAGTCCATTTTGGTTGCCTTTCCTATTTGAAGGATTTGCACAAACCTTCCCTAGATGCATTCCTCAAACTAATAAGACTCAGAATCCAATGCAAATCTGGGTGGCGAGAACAATACAGGTGAAGGAGTTGGGATTAAGTATCCAAAAATCTTAATGCCAAAATCTTTTCTTGCCTTCATTTTATTTTACTGATTTCAACGGACAATTATCAAATGAAAGCATAAATAAAAGGGGGAAAAAACAAAGAGGTAGTAGCATTGCAAAGATAAGAAACAAAAAGTGAAATGGTTCAGCCAGTTACCAACTGCATGTGACAAAGAGATCAGAACATCAGTTGCTGAAGGAAATGGGCCGAATATAACGACAGGATATGATGATGGAGCTACAAGCTTTACAGTTGATTCTTGCCGCAAATCAATCTGCATAAAAACAAAAATGATCAACAACAACAAATATATGGAATAAATCAGAAAGCGTGAATACCTCACAGCGTTTTGTTGTATCTGCAAGAACCCCTAGTGTCTCTCCATTTGGAAGAACAGCTAGTACCCAAGGATGCGACTGGTACAATGATGTAGTTCCAGGACCATAACCCCATGAGTCTGTGTTCCAGGTAAAAACCTATAAACAATGTAATTGGTTAATTCATGAAGATCATAGACAAGAAAAAAATTCATTGATGACAATGCAAACTGACTGACTCTTTTCCCTGTCCGTTCAAGCTGTCCACTAACTTCTCCTGTTCCATAGAATGAGGTACCTGCAGGAAGCTAGATGAAAACCAAATGTATAAGATACACAGGTACATGTTGAAGGAAATACAATATGCTAACAGAAAAAGATAGACGGTGATATCTAACTAACTGACCTGAAGATTAACAATTTGTTGTCCAAGCACACACTCAAAAGTAGGAGTGAATGATGGAGCTTTGTCGGTAGTCATAATTGGTGTCTCTCTATCTTTAGGGTTAACAAAAGAAAGACTTGGAAAAGCCGCATTTCTATCATCCGCAGAACAGTCAAACCTGAAGACCCCTTCCTCTAGAATAGGCTCGAAAACCATGTTTCCTGATTTCACATCTGAAGTCACAGTCATCCCTTCATATTCCGCCATCTTAGATTCTACTAATCTTTCCCACTCAACCTCTTGTTGACCCTCTTTGGCCTCTGCTTTCTGCCTATCAAAAATTCATATCATGAAACCCTCCAACTCATGCAATTGCAGGGATTATCAAACAAAACTGAAAAATTACATAATTCAGGCACAGGAGAAATTTGATCGGTCACTACAAAACCTCAAACATCCGAAGTAATGTGTTCAAAAGTGCAAGACGTATAACACTCACTCTTTCAATTAAACTATCATTGCAACTAAAACTTGTTTCTCTATCAATTCGCCTGATCCTAAATTAGGACATAAATACCAATCTTTCCCACATAGTGTATACAGAAAAACTTAAGAGACAGTTCAAATCCCAACATCACGTGAACAACAAAAAAGTTCACCAATAAGCCCTATCAAATAAACTTCTAAAAAATAACATTCATGAATATACCAGCATTCTATTCTTTGCATACGATTCAGTTAGATTCAAAGTGTTTCCAAATGAGTGAAACAACTTTTAAAGAATCAAAAGATTCCAAGTAGAACTGACCTGATTGACTGAAACAGCGAATATGGGTTAGTAGATAAGTGAACTGGGTATAAATGCAAGGACTTGAGCCTCTGCAACTTCACACATACCCTCAATGACCCCTTTGAAGTTCTTGAACTAGAACCAGTAAGGCCATAAAGATGTCTTGGCGATAATCTCAATGAGCCACTTGCTTTACTACTCAATAATAGTACTCCTTCCATTTAATTTGTGATCCAAACAGTACTTACGCTAAAAAACTTGAATAATTAAATAAAAATTTGCATTAAATATAGTTATTTGATGATAATTTAGTTGTGGGTTCAGAAGATGTTTACTGCTGGAGTAGGTGGAAAAAAGTTTGTGGGTTCACGCGCCCAATCATAGTAGCTGCTAGCATTTTCTACGCGGGTCTTTGCTATCTCTGTGTGGCCTTTGAGAAGACTGCGCTGAACCTTTCTTTTCTCCTTCTTGGTTGAGGGAGGTGTATGATAAATAGTGAATTATAATTTATACCCTTCAAGTATGTGTTTAATTTTATTTGATCTTTAAAATTATCATTAACAATCAAATCAAGAGTTTTAATTGCATTTCAATTTAGTCTTTACATAATTCGATTCTAATATTAACATAATTATTAA